TTTAATTAATATTAATTTGCCAGTATATAATTTTTTGACATGCTATTTACAATATGAGTTTCTTTTTATATAGAATGTTTTTGATGTAATAATCAAGTCAAAATGTTTTTAAGTTATTTAAAATGCTGATGAAATCACTTACAATGATCCTAGATGTTTAAAAGTTTTAGTTTTCTGCAAAATCAGCTGGTCCCCTGAGCACTGGCCCTGATATCCTGTTTTAGGATGGCTCCTTTACCTTGCAGGGTCCTATGGAGCCACCCTTGTGTGTGCTAGTAAGCTGTTTGTGTCTCCACTATGTCACCCTGATGAAGGGACCCTGCGTGGCCCCCAAAACTTTGGTTTTGCATGTGACGCACTTCAAATACAGATGTTCCTCGCTTACCGACTTACCTGTTTTGCGACCACTCGCACTTACGACGGACCGCCGATCGACCTCCGACCTTGCGCGTCAACGTCAGTGCGCCGCGTCGCCGGCGGAAGTGGTGTCCTCCGATCTTCACTGCGGGTCCCGGTAAGTGTTTTCATTGCCCGATGCACAGTACACTGTTCGGTACTGTACATCGGCAACGCTATACAGTACTGTACTAATGCAGTACAGTACTGTATAGAGTTCCTCACTTAACGACCAATCCGTTTAACGACCTGGTCGTAGGAACGGAACTCGGTCGTTAAGTGAGGAATACCTGTAAATGTACACAAGGATTTAAGATTATCTGTTGAGTGGTGGTATTCTTATTAAGATCCACAAACGCACAGACACAGCAAGGCAAGACACTTCCTTCCCCCTGCTCTTTACTCCCTTCTCCAAGCTAGTAGGTGGACAGTTGCTGCAGACTGCTCTGTCCCTTGTGATCTTGTACTGGACAGGAAGTTTAGGGAAGCTGAGCCGAGAGAGTAGGAGCCAGTTCTTGGAAACATGATGACTGTAAGTGATTGGGCAAAATATGTAAAGAAATACTTTGCTGGGTGATGTGTATTTGTTAGATCTGGATTCATTATTGAAAATTGTTTGAGAGTTTAATACTATTTTAGGCGGTCCCATTGAAGTGAATGGCCTATGCACCCAAATGACTGCAGCGTGCATTTCCTGCATGCGCATGGGTGTGAAAAGGCAGAAAAGGTATTATCACTCAAATCTGCCATTGCTTCTTTCTCATGCCAAGCATAGAAAACATCCTCCAGATGGTACTTGTTATTATCGTTCCGATTGAATGAGTGAAGTAATTATAAATGACAGCGCAGATCCTGGGCCGTATATATTCATATTAGTATCGCAGGTATTTGTATCCGTTAAAACAAAATGTACGTGACTCAGGGGGGAAGAAGGAACACAACACAGGACTTTAACAAGTTTTAACACATTAGACCTCCGGGCGTCTAAGCCAGCTGATACCTATATGATGAGTGTGTTCTCTTTTATAGAAAGCATTATGTGACGGGGTTCAGGGCCGCTACCAAAGATTTGATCTGCCGCCAATACTGGAATTATACAAATCCCATTTCACGTTGCTTCATAGGTTAGCAGCAAACACGGCCGCACCTTACAGTACATGGTAGCATATTGTGGTGAGGCAATCAGTGACTGGCGATGATTAACACAGCCGATTATAGATAAGATAACATGAGGTTTCATCTGAAGTTGTTTGAAAGGAAAGTGTTTGCTTTTGTTTTCTAAGCCGTCCAATCACAATGGCTCTTTAGTGTTTTTCCAGGGAGCTTAGAAATTAATCCTTTTCGGCACCGTTTCCTGTTATACACGGGAACACAAACCACAATCTGATGAGAAGGGATTGGATATAGAAGGGAGTGTTCATGTTTTTACTGCTGTGTTGACCCCTGTTAGGGAAATTTCCGCTGACTTCTTTTCCTACCGGCATTGGGAGTGAATGAAAATCTCTCCAGCAGAGACATAAAAAGGGGAAAAAAAACCCTTTTACTAAAGCTGTTTGATGGTTATAGATTCTGTTAAAGTGCATGTAAACCCTAGTTAACTTCTGTTATTTTTTTTTCCTACCTCGGTTTCTTAAGAATGAAGTTTAATCTGGTTATATTTTGCCTTCCCTGGTTCCTCCCCTCCCCTTATTAACTAATTAAATAAAATCTTCCTTTTCATTACAGACCCTATTTTGCAACCAGTGATATCATCACTGGGTCTCTGTGCAATGAAGACAGATCATGGCGGGTGGGAGGAGCTGGCAGTGAGCTGTACATAGCTTTCTGAGAACATCACAGCACTCTGCAGCAGTACTGCTCTCAAGATGCAAGCAGTGGGCGGGCTCTTGGGAGGAGTTATGCAAATATCAAAATTCCTTGATGAATTGATGTCAGTCTGGAGGAGTGGGTGTTCCTACACAGGTTTTATTTGCATACAGACCACACTAGGTAACACCCACATGTGATGCTGAGACTCCATGATTGAAAGAACTAAAGCCCAATAAATGTAAAAAGGCGGGGCCAGGGATAGCCAGGTTGGTAATGCAAGGGCTAGATGATGCTGGATGTTCTGCAACCAGGAAATGAGGCGGGCTCTGTCTGTCTTGCTGCAGCTTCTAATGTGAGAAGCTCCCAGTGTGCAGTGACATCAGAGGAAGAGGAGAGGAGCCGGTACAACTGTGCAAGATTGAAGGGAAGTCCAGAGGTCAGATAGAGGACTGAAGGGAAGGCCGGAGGTCAGATAGAGGACTGAAGGGAAGGATGGAGGTCAGATAGAAGACTGAAGGGGAGGGCGGAGGTCAGATAGAAGACTGAAGGGGAGGGCGGAGGTCAGATAGAAGACTGAAGGGGAGGGCGGAGGTCAGATAGAAGACTGAAGGGGAGGGCGGAGGTCAGATAGAAGACTGAAGGGGAGGGCGGAGGTCAGATAGAAGACTGAAGGGGAGGGCGGAGGTCAGATAGAAGACTGAAGGGGAGGGCGGAGGTCAGATAGAAGACTGAAGGGGAGGGCGGAGGTCAGATAGAAGACTGAAGGGGAGGGCGGAGGTCAGATAGAAGACTGAAGGGGAGGGCGGAGGTCAGATAGAAGACTGAAGGGGAGGGCGGAGGTCAGATAGAAGACTGAAGGGGAGGGCGGAGGTCAGATAGAAGACTGAAGGGGAGGGCGGAGGTCAGATAGAAGACTGAAGGGGAGGGCGGAGGTCAGATAGAAGACTGAAGGGGAGGGCGGAGGTCAGATAGAAGACTGAAGGGGAGGGCGGAGGTCAGATAGAAGACTGAAGGGGAGGGCGGAGGTCAGATAGAAGACTGAAGGGGAGGGCGGAGGTCAGATAGAAGACTGAAGGGGAGGGCGGAGGTCAGATAGAAGACTGAAGGGGAGGGCGGAGGTCAGATAGAAGACTGAAGGGGAGGGCGGAGGTCAGATAGAAGACTGAAGGGGAGGGCGGAGGTCAGATAGAAGACTGAAGGGGAGGGCGGAGGTCAGATAGAAGACTGAAGGGGAGGGCGGAGGTCAGATAGAAGACTGAAGGGAAGGCCAGAGGTCAGATATAAATATATCCTTGAAAGTGTTTTGTTATATCTTTTCTCTAAGTGCGGAAAAATGCCAGATGATCCTGCCCAAAATCCAGTGAGCTCATAACCTCCTGAGTTATCTCAGAGGTGTTATTAGCTCTGCCCAGTTCTCATTGTAAACTACAGAACACATTTCCCTGAAAAGAAGCTTTAACAACTTTGACAGGTTACCGGCCCCCTCTAGATTAAACTATTATCCTAGATCAGGCGCAGGCAACCTCTGCAGCTGTGGTGGAACTACAGGTCCCATGAGGCATTGCAAGACTCTGACAGCTACAGGCATGACGGGGTTGTATTTTTACCACAGCTGGACTGCCGAGGTTGCCTACCCCTGTCCCATGTCCAAATCATGTTGCCATAAAGGAAAAGAAAGCGGATGTGATTGCATTCTCCTGATGTCACACTAGAGAGCAGTGTGTGACCAGACACAGAGCAATTCCTGAACGAAGGAGAGCAAAGGCAGAAAATGTCCGTGGCTGCCACAATGACGGAACTGACAGATATCTCATTACTACTATTGCCAGCTTCAGAGAGAGTTTACAGTTTTGGTAGTCATTTATACATAATATTTAAGGAGTACTATCATAACAGGATCTTTAAATTATATATACACTAACATGGAAACTTTAACTTTTAAGTTATATCCTTTATAGAGCTGCAAGCCTATAGGACCCCAGGCATTATACATTTGAGGAAGGATATTTTATTTCCACATGCAGATGGGTGCCATCTGGCCCCGGTGTACATATTATTATTAATACAGGTATTTATATACCGCCAACAATTTACGCAGCACTTTACATAGTCGCACATTCACATCAGTCCCTACCCTCAAGGCGCTTACAATCTAAAGTCCCTATCTCACATGCATACATAGAGGGCCAACTTAGAGAGGAGCCAATTAACCTCCCAGCATGTCTTTGGAGTGTGGGAGGCAACCGGAGTACCTGGAGGAAACCCACGCAAGCACAGGAAGGACATGCAAACTCCATGCAGATAGTGACCTGGCCGAAATTTGTACCAGGGACCCCCAGTGCTGCAAGGCAGAAGCACTAACCACTACGCCACTGTGCTGCCTGACATATATTAGGTCCTAGAGATCCTAATAGGTTGGAGAGATCCTAATAGGTTGGACTTGATGGACTAATGTCTTTATTCAACCTCAAATACTATGTAACTATATTGCAGTCACTTCTACTTTTTCCCATTATGTCGTTACGGACTTTAGGTTTGTTAAAAGATAGAAGACTGTGCCCCGTTTTATTGAAAAATGTCCTCCAAGGATTGAAATTCAAAGGTTTTTCTGTACAAAAAAAATGTAAGAGGTTCTTTGTTCTCCTTGTTCCTCATCACCGGTGGTTAAACCTTCACAGTTAGTCTTTTGTCTTTATTCTGAAGTCACTTTGCTGCTTCCGGGATGGTGGTCCACTCAGCATGTCTCGGGGAAGTTTGGTTACTTTGAACTTTCCTCTTGCAGTCAGCAACACTCCTCAGAAGTAGGTCAGGTTCTGAATGACGTGATGCTGAAGGAGATTTCTTATTGCTATTGCTTCCAGGGGTACCTTGTGTCCAGAATCCTAAGTAAAAAAAAAAAAGCAGTTTTATTTATGCTTCTTATGATTTACGGAAAACCCTGATTAGAGCATGAAGGTAAAACATTATCGGCTACCTTGTCTTAATGGTTAGTACAATAGACACAGAGCACCGGCATTCTGCAAATTGTGCATGATATTTGTATGTTCTTCTAGTGTTTGCGAGCTTACACTTTGAACACAAAAAACACGTTTTTCATAGGTGGGTCTGTCTATAAAGAAGTGAAGAAGAAAATAGAGATATGGGAAATAATGTTTATTTTTCTTTAGTTTTCAGTGACCTTGCTTACTTTGTATGTCATTGCAGTTATGTTATTATTTTAACTAGGGATGCACTGATACCATGTTTTTGGTATCAAGTAAGAGTACCTATAGCATGGAGCCGGCTTCCTGGGTAATCAGAAAGCTGGGCAGCGTGTCATTACCCGGTGCCTTGCTTCTTGATTGCCCAGGAAGTCAGCTCTGTGCTGTTTGGCCAGCTCAATACTGATTGGCCGGGATGCCGGCATCCCAGCCAATCAGCATGGAGTTGGCTTCCCGGCCAATCAGGAAGCCAGGAGGTGGGCCATTACCAGGAAGCCGACTCCATGCTGTTTGGCCGCCTCCATGCTAATTGGTCAGGCTTCATGTTCCCTTGCGGCACAGCCAGTCAAAGGAAATCTCCCTTCTGACCGGAGGTTCCAGTATCGGGGGCATTTGGGGCGAGTACTCGGTATCGGTATCGGCACCGAAACTGATGCTATTTTTGCTGCATCCCTAAATTTAACCCTTTCACTGCCAGATTTGTTGTTTGGGGGGTTTTTTTGCACACATGTTTAAAATGCACATTTTACACCTAAGGATTAGTTAAAATACCCCAGAAATATATATTTTCTAAAAGCAGAGACCCTGGAAAATAAAATGGTAGTTTCACTTTTTTTATGTCACTTAATATTAGAGCAACTGTTTATCAAACCCAATATCTCTGTAAAAATCACACTAAATTTAATTTTAAAACACAATATATTATTCAATTATTTGGCAAATAAAATTAAAATTGCATGCGTCCATGAAACAGAGACAAACTTTGGCACCCAAATTTGTCCATAGACATCACATTAAAAGCCTTTACAGGTCGTCAGTATAGAGTTAACATTAACTGATTGCCCTAGAATTATTGCTCTCCCTTTGGTGTGCGTGGCAGTACCCCACATGTGTGGTGCAATCGGGCGGCTCAAATTTACCAGAAAGCCAACAAGTCCACTTTTTAAATGTCCACTTAAAATCCCACGTTACTGCCAACGTAAGCCTTATATCAGTGGCAGTGAAAGGGTTAAATGTTCATATTGCTATCTCAGAATTGTGCCGTTTACATTCCTGTTACCTACAGCCTGATGGTTGAGGACTCACCTTCGATATTTTTATACTGCTGTTGTCATAGTAGTGGAAAGGCTGCGTATCATTCAAGTCTGGGTAACCAAAGCCTGCAATGTGGACCATGTCACAGAAGTGGATCGCAAAAGAGATTGCCATGAAGCCGGTGGTGGGTTTCTAGAAGGAGAATAGAAAACCTTTCACTCTAGAACACATATCGCCCATATTTATAAAACCTTAAAACTCAAGACCGATATAAAATATATAAACGAATGCAGAGGCCAAAAAAGAGCCAACATCTAAGGACTGGTAAGCTGAAATACAGTATATGACATCTTTCTTCTTGGGTTTAGATACACTTTATGTGACCCAAGTTAAGTTTTGATGCCTTTTACATAATTTACAAATCTGGACAGTGTAAATGATTGTCTTAAAATATGTTTCCACTTTAAAATGGAACCTGTTTATCGGGAAAGATGGTTAAAAATGAGACAACAATTTATAAATGGTCAGAGGTTTATTGATATGTATGCACTTCATACAGGGTGAGACCAGGGCTGTAGTTGCCATAATGCACCCGTGGACCTGTGTCTAGGACAGCATGGTTAGGGAAGTCAGAAAATGAATGCAAATTGAGATACATTTCTTATTTTATTGTCCTCTTCAGTCCATATTTAGACTTTTTTGTGAAATTGAACAAGAGAACTTAGGGGGCTATGGGGGGATGTTATGGAATCCTAAGGACCCATTCAGTATAATGTGCATTTTTATGCTTGCTACCACAACAGCTGTTGATGTGTTGCGGTGCTATTCATTTTTACACGCAGCAACACACGTGACAACATAGTACTGTTAGTAGTGCACCGTGTTGGATTAAAAAAAACGATGCAGGTCTGTTGTGGTGCAATTTATAAGTAGCTCTGCATATAAAACGGATTACATTCTGCTTCAAATTGTGCAGTCTAGCAGTAGTTTTACTAAAATAATCACCTGACAGAAGGGGAGGAGTTTGTACAAGAGGACTGGAACCAAAGCATTTATAGGGCACGGCTACCATTTCCAAGCCCAACACCATTTGTTACCCACATACCGCCTTCGGATTCTTGGTTTTCTTATTCTCTCCAAGTAGATTTGTGGCAGCAAATTCCATGAAATAAGGATCTAGAATCCTGATGTTCTGAGGATTCACATTCCATTCTATGGGAGGGTTCCTCCAGAAGCCCTGTTTCAGCTACAAAAATTGATACAAAATGGTTCAGTGTTTGTGTTAGATTGTGTCTGTCACCGAATGTATCCAGCAACTGGAGTCATTAATTTGCATTTATACTTCTACACCCCCACCCCCCATCACTCAGTTCTTCAGTGAATGATCTACAGTTGATGATGCAGCTACATGGTTACTTTTATTTTACTGAGGCTGTGACAAATGTGACATAAAACCACATAAGTGATCTACATGTGGGGGAATCATTCATGCAAGTGTGGTCAATGTGCAAGTGTGGACACGGATATCTTTTAGGTGGTTGGTGCTTTGATTCCTAATTGATTACCTGGTAATTGTTTTGCATGTGTATCTGGGTAAATACCTGGATAACATGTGAGATAAAGGGGTTGATTTACTAACCTTATAAACACACCACGAACATGTATACACCTCTGTAGTGTGTTCCCTCCCAGCATGATCTATGGGTGGAATCTAAACACATTTGTAGTGTGTACACACCCAGCAGGTGTGTTGTGCAAAGCCAAGCATGAATTGCAAGGTGATGTTGTGTAAATTAGCTCTATGGTGTGTTGCTTGCGTTGATGAATGCAGAAATGTAAATGCATGAGCTAACCATTTTTGTCTAAACTGTGAAGCAGCATTATATATGCATCATGTGCATGATTTTTCCATATATGGCATTAGTGGAAATATGCTTATAGAGACTTTTTGGTTGATAAATAAGTTTTGCTGTGTGAAAATCACACGCATGCGTGCGTGTGTTTAGGTTAGTAAATCACCCCCAAAGTGTTCGTGGTTTGCAGACATTTTAGATAGATGCCTTTCATTGTACTGGATGGGATATGACTAGATACTATTACTGGGTACTAATATTTATGATCTGAGAGTACAGATTACAGGCTCACACGCACCCTTTTTTCATCGTTTATTATGGTTTTCATCCACAGCACATCATTATTCTTGAATGGCACCAGTACCATCAATGTGTCTGGATTGTTGTCCAGTGCTGGGTCGGAAAAAGCAGATTCTGGGTAAAAGAAGCGCAATGTTGTCTTGCTGCCAACATCTTTCTCATATTTGTGGACGGGAGCATCGTTCATCCTGTGGAGGAAATGTGTGGATCGTAACATAGGTCAAGAATATTTCGGTGGTACCGGACTGGGTTTTGAGAAGGATATTTTCAGTTTATATTGTATGTTGAGTCTGAAAGGATTTTTATGCATGCTTACTTCTTGATCGCAGAGATGCATGCTTTTGTGATTGTACATATGTATGTCTTTATGTCAGACAATATGCATGCACATTTTCTGGGGCAAGCTTGGTCAAATGTTGCCAAGATCAAGCAGCCAGCTCCAAAACGTTAGGAGCCCATAGAAATGCAACTTTGATCTGGCATGTATTCTGACCGCCCCTGTGGCAGCCATATAAAGCGTACCCCACAGCAGCCATATAGGCAGTTCTCTAACCCCCACCACAGCAAGTACATATAGATTACCCCTCCTCCCCCAAATAATTCAATGTTTTAGTGAGCATAGGTGATATAGTGTTTAATGATTACTGCCGTGCCTTATAGCGGCCACACATAGTCGTAATCAGTAATCATAAAACTGCACCTCACGCGAAGACAAAAACAATGTGTACTACTGGGGAGCAGGACGCGGTTTGGCCAGTAGTCCACTCTTCCAGTGTGAAATTGACTTTTTTCAGTTGTCATCGTGATCTGTCGATCAAGTTGTATCCATCCCTGATCTATATAAATTCTATCAAGGGTCGATACATGGTGTAGAGGTTTAGTGGAGGTGATGTTATGTCAGCATTTCACCATCCCTTCCTTTGTTCGTATCTGAGCCTGTACAGACTTTAGGCCAGCATCAGTTGGGGAGGGTCAGGCTGCACTTGAGAGCCATGGCCCAGAAAGAAGATAGGAGGGCAGGAGAATCTGATCTCAGAGACAAACACACACATCCATTCTGCACCTGCACAACCTCTCGGACTCCTGAAGAGTGGACGCAACACTCTCCCTATTTGGTGTCTCCACAAGGCACTCCAGGCACCACTTTTAGCACTCACAGGATGCCTAGTGTTCAAGAAGCAATCTTTAGGGCACTTTTTCCATTTGGCCTCATGACCGGGACGTGTCCAGCACTGTTTTATAAATTAGGTGCTATCCTTTGCCAATGAGATTGATTTCAACAATTTGCCACCATTCAATGCCTATAGGTAGCTTTAAATCATGGCTGGGCAAGTCCCAGTAGCCTAGCAGCCAATGCACATTAAAGATTACAGCTGGCGCCTAACTTTTGAGGTTTTCTCTAGTTGCTGTCAGTGGAGATGATGCCTAAAATAAATGTATGATGGCTTCCATATTAAACAATCCTGCAGGCCCCTAAATTACATATGAATTTGTCCTCCCCTGCTTTCAATTTTACTGCACAATGCTGAGGACATTGTAACATATTTATTTCATGCTATATGGAAATCTGACACATTATTGGTCTTAAGAAAGGATTGGTAGTTTTAGCGTTCCTACATTCTGCTGCTTGGCACTAAGGAAGATTTAACTCCAACCGGTTTATTCTGTAGAAACCCATAACAACATAACAGATTAATCTTTTACTGATTGGATTACAGCAGGAAATATTGGTTGCAGTACTTCACATATCATTAGAACTAGGGATGCACAGATACTTTTCGAGTACCAGTGCCGATACTTGGCATTTTCATGAGAACTCCCAGGGTTGCAGCTGGGACCGGGCTCTGGCGCTCCACCACCGTCCTGAAAACATTAGTATGTATTGTTTTAGAAAAACTGTCACATGACAATGAACAAAAATGTATCAGTACTCGTACTTGTAAGTACTTGGCAAGTACCAGTACTTGTACTCGCAAAACTGGCATCTGTACATCCCTTTATTTATATTTATAAAAACAAAATCATACATTAAAACAGAGATGTACAAATCCCAGGAGCTCCGTGTGCTCCTTACAAATGACAGCTGCCTCCTTACTTTTACATTTTTCTCTAGTGTAGTCTTGGAGCTCAAAAGTATCGGTACATGTACTCGTACTTGTACCGAGTACTGTACTCGGTATCTGTGCAACCCTAATTAGAACTGTATTATTGATTAGGGTTGTAAGGCTGGTGAGAGACAGAATACATTTTCAGACAAATCTGAACCCCCACATGGCAGCAAGTGCTCCATGCACTACAGAGTGCATCTCAGACTTGCAAGATTGGCTCTGCTGACCTAGAAGGTTTCTGTCCATGGGAAGGTGGCAGGAGGAGAGCGGTGCACTGCACACAGATGCTGGTGGTGCCACCTGTCGAGTGGAGAATGCTAGCAAACAGGAAAAGATTTATAATCTGTCCAATTACTGCTCCCAAGGAGAGCGGCTGGCCAACAGTATGTATATTTGCCACCATAGAAATCAGATTGTGTCTGAATCCTGCATAAATGACCAGGTGGGGCAGCTGTCATCTCATGTCTATGGACTGTTTAAGGAAGAAGAATACTAAGAACACCAAAGAAGTTGTATCGTAAGACAGCCAGTCTGTGCTTTTTTAGCTTTCTCACCTGATCACTATATCGTATGTATTAATAATGTCACCCAGAACGCTGTCCTTCATGCGGTATCCATTCCCAACCACAACACAACGCTTGCACTGCAACCTTATAGACAGAAAATAGGGATTGTATTACTGTGTTTGACATGAACACATTAGGCTTTCATTGAGACAGAGTCTGAAGTTACAGCTGTCATAGAATTCTATAATCATATATATTAAAAAAAGAAACTTTTGTTGTAATAATGACCTTTCGTCCAGAGCTGTCCCCACATTACTTCTTCTTCTCCACCAGATGTTCTCAATCTGATAGCTAGCTTCATATAAACAACTTGCTCTGAGCCCATGGGCCTGCGTCCAGCCTGTGACTAGACAGTGAATGGAGAAGCACCACAGTGATAGGCTCATCTCTCTGTCACTCTGCTTTTTCTTTCTATTAGCTTGTCCCATGGCAGCACATTCACCGATTGGCTTCTTATGCTTTCTCTCTCACTCCCAGTCTGAGCTCTGCTGTACAGAGGTTTACAAGAGGCTGATACCATCCAGGTATTTACACTGCTTGCATTAAACAAAATTGATGATCGCCGGTCTGTCCGGTTGGACTGGCCCACACGCCTATACAATGGTGGATTGTAATTGTTGAATGCTAAGGCCGCCCAATGCACACTGTATTAGCTATTATAACTTCTGCTGTTCTATTATTCAACACCTGACAATACTGTGGATAATATGTGTTTCTCAGTCCATCTGTATTGGACGCTTTTTTGTTCTATCTTTATATGCCAATAAAAACGTATTGAATGTTTAAAAAAAAAAAAAATTGATGATGTATATAAATTAATACAAATTAATACAGAGCTACATTATTATTATTTTTTTTTATGTATGCCTGGAGTTCAGCTTTTAGCAGAGGGATGGTCAAAAAAGCGTAAAATATTCTGAATAACTAATAACATTCCAAATATTTCACTAATTAATATTCCTTCTATTTATCCTCCATGCAGGTGCACCCGATATTTGTGGGTTTTGATACATAAGTTAGTGGTGTATGGTCGATAAACAATTGTTAATGTTTTAGATATTTGGCATTGTCCAGCACAGCGGTTGTAATTCACCACACTGGGAGGATAATTTACAGCATCGAGGATTGATTAAATGATATTTCAACTTAATAAGCAAATACCCTAAAGAAGTAATGCATTAAAAACCTGGCCACATTACAGCAGTAATTACAAAGGGTTCAATTGGGCTTTAAAAAAAATTACTTTATCTGGTATGAGTGATTGTTCTTCCCTACTGTGGCTGACACAAGAACTTGGCATTTTTAAACAAGTCTTTTCATGAATATGTGTTACCTTTCAATCTCTTGTGGGAGGTGGTAATAATTTGTAACAGCGAGCACCTGCATTATTGTATCTTCTGCAATAAATAGACAAGTTAGTTATGGAATTGTTTTTCCAGCTACTTTTAGTGCACATTTGTGTCAGGTGTAAACTATGATTTGTTTAACCTGTGTAGTTGAGCAAAACAAAGTGCACTTATCCTTTTTGTTCCCCAACCACTGATCTGAACAATCCCGTTCTCCTCCTCCCCAGATCTGTACTTACTGAGATCCGCTGTTGTTTACATGCAGCACTACGGTGCTCCCTCTGCTGGCTGCACCTGCACAATGCAGCCCTATAGACTTCTATGGGGCCGTCTTCAAGCTGAAATGCGGATGCAGCCATGGGGAAGGAGACTTGCAGGCTGGATGTCAACAAACAATGGAGCAACAGCCCTCAGATCTCGGTAAGTATAGATCTGCAAATGATGAGGTGATATTGCCTAGGTCAGGGTAGGGGGGCAAAAGAGTATGTGCAGTTTGTCTAAACGTGCACTTATTTTTTTTATGCTACATCAAGAGAGCGTAATTTAGTTTGCGCTAGCTTTAAAAACGTTGTATTGGCATTTATAACCAGTGGAGTCCAATAAAAGTAATGATATACGGTAAAAATAATTATATACAATAAACGTAATGCCATACAACTTTATAGTTCATATTTAAGTGACACCATTCATTTCTAAAGCATTAGGTTGAAAATGCAAGCTTTTTAAACTCTGCATATTGAGTTATTTGCTTGTTTCAAATGTTTGAATATTTACTGTGTCAGCTAAAAAAAATATTATCCCTTTAACGCCAAACTTTCTGCATTTGTACAGCTCTAGGATATTGTGCTTTACTATGCAGACTATTAAACTTTACCTTTCGATCCTTGCTCCTGAATAATATTAAACGTTACATCCCCACCAGCCATATACACACACAGACATGACAGGCAGTGGCAGAACAATCGCCATAGCGACCCAGGCGGCCGCTATGGGGGCCTGGGCACAGGACATCCCCTTTATGCTGTGCGGGTTGCCTGGGTCGCTATGGCATCTCAGGCTGCTGGCTGTCACTGGCGGCTGTGAGGAGGAGTGCGCCGCTGGTCAGATCACTGACAACCTGTCAGTGATGTGTGCAGCGGCACGGTCCTCCTCACAGCCGCTGCTGAGTCATTGGACAGCCAGCAGCTGCGGAGGAGGAGGCTGGGCCTGGCGTCAGCAGCGAAAGAGGAGGCGGGGTCCAGCAATGGAGGAGGAGGGGCCCGGCGATTGAGGAGACGGGGCCCAGTGACGGAGGAGGTGGGGCCCGCCAGAAACCATGCAGGAGGAGGAGGCAAACATTGGATCGGGGCTGACAGGCAAGGGTTTGATCAGCCCACCTGAGACCATGCAGAGCCCACCATAGAGAGTCTATGGTGGGCCCTGCAGCGTCACTCTCAGGTGGGCTGTTTGGGTTAGCAGGTGGGCATAACTAGAAATCACAGGGCCCCATACAAAATTTTGCTATGGGGCCCTGTGATTTCTAGTTACGCCCCTGACGACAGGACAGTGTTTGTTGAACCTGAGTAACCCATAAATATGTTTTTTGGGTCATGGGAGGAAACTAGAGCGCACAGAGCAAAGCCACTCTAGATGTTTTAGCAACATACAAACTCTATGCTCCTGGAACTCTCAGCTCTGGACCCCAGCATAGTACACGGCAGTTAAATGTGTCTATGTTGGCAGGTTCATATGGCATCTCATGCGGTATTCTTCAGGTTATTGAACATTAAAAGATCAGTGTGCTTTTTTGTTGTTGTCTTTAAACCACCTTACCGCTGCCCTTTGTGCCACACGGCAGGGATAAGTTGGACTGTTTCGTCACCCAGAAATATTCGCTGAGCTGAAGAAATACCGGATGACCGTTGGAATAACTGAAATACAACACATAATATTACATGAGCAGGTGTTTATGGTAGAGAAAACTTTTTTCTGCCTTTGTATTGGTTATATTTTGTGAACGTTAACCTGCAGCGAAGGAAGCTAAAAGGAGAACTATGAGGTGAGTGATTTACAATCATCCTCATAGTTAGAGCCAACCTGTGACAATGCAACTGTCACAGGTCGGCTCTATTGATCGGGAAGTGAGTGAACACATACCGCCGCTCGCTCACTTTCCGATCACCTCCCTGCAGAGAGCTGTGACTGTCAGTCACCCGAAGGGATTCCCCTCTCCGATCCTCCAGCACTGACTGGAGGAACGGACGGGGGAGGGGGCGGGCAAACCGGGCTCTGCCTTTAGATCGGCAGATCCAGCTGTCAATCAGCCAGCTGGGTGGATCTTGACAGTATTGTCGGGATCCGTCCCGGCTGTGGCGCTCTTAGCATATAGCGAACTATAACTCACCATATACTGAGCTTTGGGTCACAGGAGGAGGTTAGTATATGTCCCCCTGTGACCCTAAAGAGAACTATGGGATAAAAAGGTTACCCCATAGATCTCTTTTAAAGTGAATCTTGTTATTGTGACACTAAACTCAGGAGTTAAATCTTAAAAATACATTCACATACCTTAAATATTAACAACAATGTATCTTATTTGTGTATCACTCGGCTGTAGATCCTCCAATCATCTCTGAATTGGTGCTGACACTGACCTTTCTTCTGGAGGGGGGCTACTTTTGTTCCCCATGGTCCCCGTGTGTGTTGTAAAGTAGTTAGCGCTCCAAGCTCGCTCCCGGGATGGACTACAATCTTATGTTTAGTTTACTAATTTGTATTGAGATTGTAGTCCATCCCAGGGGGAGCTTGGAGCTTGAATTTTGTATCACTTTAACAGTACATCTTTGTATATAGCAGGAGGGACTCCAAGAGAGAATAATAGAAATTGATTGGAAACTTATGAAAGGTAGTTCCAGCATTTGCACTTCTGTTAATTTGTATACTTTGCGTTATGCAACAGGCCAACCTCAAAATAATTTTTAAGATTCTCTTATCTGGTAATGAGTTTTTAAGAATTGAGCCCAACAACAGCTATTATATTATTAATATAATTATTATTATTATCATTATTAGTAGTAGTAGTAGTAGCTGTAGCAGTACTGCTGTGTTAGAATCTATGGCAGGTATTTCTGTAAATAAAAAAAGTTTTCATTGCAGCTGAGCTGTAAATGAAAAATTATTAATAAAACTTTGGACATGAGATAAGGGCAAATAACAAGAAGTCCATAGTTCCAAAGTACGTAAATAATTATTTTTTAACAGTAAATCAAGATAAAGAAAAAGACTGATCATTCGTGTCCGTACCAGTTGCATCAGTTATAACTTTAGACTATTGGATTTTGTATTAAGTGTCCTTAATGAGACATTTTATTGCAGTCATTATTCTTACCATTGGATGAAGTTGTCGAGTTAGATAAACAAAATGATAGAAAAAAACCCGTAATGGAATAAAGTGATTTTTAAAGGAGATGGATGATTGGAGGAATGCTTATATGTAGTGTGAACCATACCTAGTTATATGAAGCATATGTAATGCAGTAAGTCATTTTTTTTTTGTTCATTCACCATTTCTAAAAATATTTAGAATGACTGCTAAATGTGGAGAGAGAGAGAGACAGACAGAAAGAGAGAGACAGACAGAAAGAGAGAGAGAGAGACAGACAGAAAGAGAGAGACAGACAGAAAGAGAGAGAGTGTGATGCATACTTACTTGCTGATAACAGCAGCTGCTCTAGAAGCCACGACTCCTGGGGTGCATCTGCCTCTGATATTCTGATATGACCTGTTGTGAGGTGCAAACCAACAAGACACATTAGTTCTCATGTGAACAGAGACAGAGAGCTGTTTTATGAGAAGTCTGTGCCTTTGATGTTTGTAAATTTCTTCTATTTGCTAGTTAAATACATATTGGGGATTAAAGCCCAACTCTGAAAGTTGGGCAACCAGATTGAAATGTTGTGTGTTAAACACAGAAGCCAGCAATTCTTTAAACATTTATTTATTAAAATTTCACAGAATGGTAAAGTTAACATAATTCTACAAAACTGTGAGCAAAAAATTAGGTCACTAGTAGAGATAAGAGTGGATGTACCAGATACAAATACAAAGCTCACAACCAAAGCTCAACAAAGAAATAAGTATAGTTTTAGGATGATGAAACCGGGGACATTCATTTGTAGACCCAAAGCACATGTCCTGGGTGGTTAAAGGAGAACTATGGGGTTAAGGCTTTTCCCCATAGTTCTCCTTAGGGTAATGGGAGGACACAAATTAGTGTCCTCCCATCACCCTAGGCTCAGTATACAGCGAGCTACAGCTCGCGGTATACTGAGACGCCGCAGCTGAAACGGATCCCGACAATTGTGCCAGGATCCGCCCAGCTGCGTGACTGACAGCTGGCTCTGCCTATCTAGAGGCAGAGCCAGCTGTACCCGCCCCCTCCCCCGTCCGTTCCGCCAGTCAGCGGTGGCGGATCGGAGCGGGGAGAGGGGAATCCAGCCCCTCCCCTGTCACGGCAGAGAGCCGTGACAGGATCGAGAGGTGAGCGAATGTCGGTATGTGTTCGCTCACCTCCCGATCTATTGAGCCGACCTGTGACAGTCTCATTGTCACAGGTCGGCTAGAACTATGAGGTGAGTGAAAAGCACGTCCCTCATAGTTCTCCTTTAAAGGAGCTAGTTTTACTTCTTCCTGATAGTGCCAATGGCTTACCCACCTCCTCCTTCCATTAGGAGCATGAGAGAGGGCATTGGTCAGCCCTCAACATGTGTAAGTGTCAAAACTGGGATTATAGAGTTACAGTTCAATATAGTTCAAGTAAAAGTGTGTGCAGGCATTATACATTTTAGAGTACCGTATTTTTCGCTCCATAAGACGCACTTTTTTCCCCCCAAAAGAATCCCGACGCCCGAGACATGCAGTTTCGGGCGCCGGGCGAGTAGTAGGAGCCACTGCTCGGCTTTAATACGAGTGATCTAATGAGATCACTCGTATTAAAACCGAGCAGCGGCGACGATCGAGATTACCATAGAGTAGACGAAGAACAAACGTTCTTCGTCTGCTCTGTGTGATCACTGAGAGACTGGCGCTGTAATCACAGCGCCACCTGTCTCAGCGGTCACTAACTGCAGCTTCTGTCACAGCTTCTGTCATAGAAGCTGTGACAGAAGCTACAGTCTGTTGAGTGTTCCATAAGGCGCGCCGGACCTCCCTGCGTCCTATGGTCCGGTGCGTCTTATGGACCGCAAAATACGGTATATCACTGTAATGCTGCAGCCAGTTCAGAACATGTATGGTACTAATGAATTGGCTTCAGTAATATTTTCATGATGTTGGTCCTGATGTATGACTGCGCACCGTTTAGCTTTCTAAAACTTCATATCAAATTAGAATTTTAAAAAGCAGAAAACATTTGTCTTACCTTGGCCACCTTGTTCCATAGTTTCCTTTGGTCATGTAATATATAGTTGCACACCATATCACTGTGACAACCATTGCGAACCTAACCTTCCATCCTGCAAAAAGCAAAACATTCGAACTTGTGAGGAAGAACCTGAAAACGATAGATCTGTGAGCAATCGGAAACATTAAATGGTGTACTGACACAGCACTCTGTAGACTTTAAACCATCACAATTACTAATCACTGTATTCATTGTAGAGAACAATTTGCATTGAGATGAAAAAAACAAGATTTTTCATGTTGTTAGTCTAAGCTTTGTTTTACCCGTGTGATTGAAGGGGATATTATTTGATATCATAGAATGTCAGAAAGCTTATTTTTATTATTATTATAGGATCACATCACTCAAAGCTGATATTTCAGTGTTTGGGGAATGCTGGAAAACGAATCCCCTTAACGAGTTCCTGGGCCTGTACGCCTTCCATAGCCAATGAAGGGTATCTTTCAATTAACTTTTGCTGGAGAAGCCAAGCCGAAGGTTATTGGCGGAACAGTCAATGAGCTGCATTCAGTCCCTGTTCACACCTAGACGCAAAACATAAAAAGCAATGCATTCCTACGGGGCTTGTTCACACCTGTGCATTAGTACACGCAACATGGGAAAAAGTACATGCATGATTTTTTTTGGCAGATATCAGCGCATTCTATCTCAACAGACTGTAGTGTAGCTGCAAACACACACGCAAAAACTTGCTGAATTCCAAATGCCTTTGTGTGATCGGAGACTTGCTGTTTGTGTATTCTGACAGTGGTGGTTGCCAGCTGTCCTAATACAATAGCCAACAGGGGACATGGCGATTGAATTAGGGTGTCTGTGGTACCTGTGCAGATATAAATGCTGGAGTATGTTCCTGATACTCACTAGTAGGGTTGAGCTCAGGTTCGGACTGAACCTGGTTCAAACCTGAGCTCCTCCAAACCCGAAAGGGAGATGGGTCCACCAGCCCAATCAGCTGCAGGCCGGCACAATCCTCACCCCACAGCTGTAAATAAATGGGTGGAATGTCTGTGCTGACATCATTGACTTTATACGACCTCATGGCCATACAAAGCCAATGACTTCACATTTGCTTTACTTATTTGCAGCTTTGAGTGGGGAATTCCCTGGCTGCAGCAGCAGTGGAAGGAGCTTCCTTGTGGTTCCTAGGAGCTCAGGTTTGGACCAGGTTTTGCTATTCAAATGTACATAGTGAGGAATATATGCTTGTGTAAAAAATAAAATAAGGACAAATATGTTTACTTTGTTAGTGATTTTTTTTATCTATTAATTGTGACACTGCTATCTTTGTCCTTCCGACTGCTGCAAAAATACAAATTCCATGATACCATGTATAACCTGACTAGTAGAAGATGCTGGGCCTCGCAGTTTTTCAACAAGAGAATTAAGTTGTTCATTGTCATTTCATCTGGCCCTGGCTTTTGCCAGTTTTCATACTTACAACCACAGAGTAGCAGCTTCATAAAAGTTAGTCTCATAGTTAGTTTATCTTTGGAAAATGAAAGCAAATAGGACCATGTTTGTCAATCGGCATCATTATAAAGGTCACCATGCGCCATAGAGCTGTGGTATTTTTTTACAAATAATCCTGCAGAGGTATTTTTACATTTTACAGGAGGACGGCACCCTCCATTCTTTCACCATATCATGTGACCCGTCTACCTCGATGCGTCATGGTAATTGGTTTGGGAATTTCCTGAAATGCATTGCTTTGTTATCTGCCAACATATGCTCTGTTTTTGTTTTTCTTCACAGAAGATTCACATAATCTGTCTATGGAATGGACACATTTAACTGGACTTCTGTAATGGGACTTCCTCATTTCAAATGATGAACTATTTCTGTAACTGTATTCTCAGGGCCGACCTTAGGCCTTTAGGCGCCCTGTGCGAGAAAGCTTTACAGCGCCCCTCAGTGACCACACCGCTCAGTGGCCACACACCCCAGTAACCACACCCATTTTCCCCAATATCCGCACCATTTAAAGATTCCTATTTTGTTAAGCCGCAAAGAAACATATTAAAAAGTATGATAAAAATAAAACTTGTATTCAAAGGTTTTAAACTTGTAGGCACAATGTAAGTATTCTTATCAAATAAAACAATAGTACAGTAGGGAAGCAATAAATGTCAAACTAAAATAGAGTCTATAAAAATAAAGTGACAGGATGTCATGCCGATCCCTTTCTTCAAGTCAGTATATTTAGAAAAGTAAAAATAGAAAACAGAACACAAAACCTAGACTACATGTAAAATGAATGAATTACTATATGTCCGAATATACGAAAAATGTATTCAGGCGCATAATAATTTGTTTGAGAATGTGCGGCGGCCATGTTGGCCATGGTGTTCTGTGAATGCGTGCCACCATCTTGGAGGTGGGGAGCATGACGTTACATGACGCCATGCATGCGTGGCGTCAGGTGATGTCACACGCCGATATTGGCCGCACCATGTTGGTGTATACCTAGATATACACCAAGATGGCGGCGCCCAACAAGTGAGGTGTTATATGATGTCATGCGCCCTGCTTCCAGAACACGCCTATGGCTGAATCCAAAATAGCATAAAAATTTGTTTTGCACATGTCTAATAAAATGTGTGTGTG